TGGCGGTGTGGGAAGGGGCAGAGAACTTTCGGCATCCTGCCATTGGCCCAGGCTGCAAACGTCTCCCAGGCAAACCATTGTCATCTGGAACACAGACTAACATCAGGAGTGAATATGGTACGGCTCCACAGTGCAGGGCAGGTACAATATCATTTATTTGTAAATTAAATATAATAACATTTCAAGTGCAAAATCTACCCCAAAACACATGTTGAAAAAGTCTTGGTAATTTTTGTGAAGTCAGGAACCACATCCAATTTTTTTGCATTGAAATTAATGAGCAATTGATTTTAAGTTTACAAATTGCCACCTCATAAACAATTTTCGTTAAACAAACTGCATTCATAAACTGAAGAATCGGTATATCTAAAAATCAGATTACAGCAAACTTTGGCTGCTATTCTAATGTTCTAACATGCGTCCGATTTGTTTGTGGTTGTAATGTCATCATGTGGATGTAGGTCAAATAGAAGCAGCAATGTTTTAAGAATATTCTTTCTCACCTATATACACGCTGCCTATCTCTGAACTTGGGCTACTGCTCGACTTGTTCCCACGTTCAGGATTCGTGTCCAGGCTTGAGAGATCTGGTTTAACACAGGAATCGCTTGAGCTTGACGTCTTAGCTTCGCCCCCTCCAGGACCACTAATTGCAATAGGCACAAATAGCTGACTGTTATCCTATAAAAGAATAAGCAAAAAATTTACAGTAATCCTTGAAACAATTTGCCATTGTGTAGTCAAGACAACTAGCACTAAATATGACAATAGAAACTGATTCTCTTAAACTAGCAGTCTTGAACCAATACAAGTTGCTAAGGTCTTTGGTCCGGGTACGCAACATTATCTCATGGCCTAATTTTGAAGCTTTCCCCCCCAGGGATATTATTTAATTCACTTCTTAATTATGAACCAGCGGGTTGTACTTCTGAAAGATGGTTTCAGTACTGCAAGTATGCACAGCAGAGCGAACAGAATGACATCTAGAGACAAACTGTGCCCCACCATCACCTTCCACAAACATCCTATTTACAATGGTCAGGCTATAATGCTAGACAAGCACATATGATACTCATGTTATTACATGTGATAACTAAGAATTCAGAACAACACAACAAAATGAAAGGGATTATTTCCAAAAACAGCACCACAAGTACATGAACCACGAACTACTTACTCTGAAAAAACCTGTGGCCTACAGTATATGTAACAATGGCATCGACATAAAAATGGTGCATTTTCATACTACAGAATATACGCCTGTGTGTAGCTCAGTCAGTATAATGACTGGCTACAGACTGGACTATCGGGATTCGATCTCCAAAGGGGGCAGAGGATTTTTCCTCTAGCCTCTGCATCCAGGCTGGTTCTGAGGTCCACCCAGCCTCTTATTCAATGGGTAATGGGGTCCTTTCCCAGGGTAAAGCATGGCTGGGGTGTGATGCTGACCACTCACCCCCATCTAGTGATGAGGTCAAGAATGAATAGGAGCTATATGTCCTCTCCCCCCAAGCGCCTACATGGCATACAGTGGGACAGCTTTACCTTTTACTTTTATAGTACATAACAGCCATTAACATACCATGTTGTCTCTTCTAGACATGGAATTAATGAGCGTTGTAGTGGCATATGGAGCTGGGATATCTGGTTCCTTTGGTCTGCAGTTGCTATAAAATGTGGTAAGATTCCTTGTGTCCACCTCAGCATAGTCTGTGGCAGAGGAGTTTAGGTCATGGCTTGCTGCTTGGTTGTTGAGCAATTTTGTTTCTACACAGACACCCGTGGAGTCCTCATTTGCTGGCCGCCACCCTCTATCAATCCACAATGTCTCCTTCCCATTCATTAAGTTTAGTTGCGATATGTCATTTGCATTCACTACAGGAACTGGAAAATAATCGAATACAAATTGTGTTTCCCTTTAGAATATGGATACATACTCTGCAATAGGACTCATCCTGCTACTGTGAGTCAGAAAAGTTCTGGGAAGAATAAATTATGCTCAGTTTCATTCACTACATACAAATGCTAGCACAATTTGTTATTAAAAATTTGCCAGTCTAAGGCAATGTGGTTTTAAGTTATAGAAGTTCAGAGAACAAAATGCTGTTTTCAAGAAGTCTTTACAAAAGACTGATATTTTTAACAAATATACAAACACCCTTCTGCCATTCAAACATAAATTTGAGGCTATGTGGCAGTTTTACTAAATCAAAGGTAACAGAAATATAGGCCTTAAAATAGTGATCACACTTTAGTCGTAAACATATCCTTTACACTTGCACGGGCAAATTATCAAAATATGTGCAAAATTTCTGTAAGAATATAGTTATTTTTAAATTCTTAACCTCAGACTTTCACATTCTTGTTATATCTGCAACTTTTAACTCCCCATAGAACTTTCATGATCAATTCATAGGAATACTTGTGATATAAGCACCATTTATATTTACGACTTATAAATTATCCCTATCAACCAAAACAGTTAATATAGACTTCACATTGTTCGTATATTGTTTTTTACACTTTACAAAAAAAAACCTTAAGCTGACTGTTACAATAACATGTTAGGGACAACACTGAAAACATGTTCTCTAAACACAATACCGAAGCGTCACATGCCCAATGGATTATACATACCATTAAGGTGCCCAAGCTCCTTGCCAAGAGCTTGACGTCTGCGCAAGTACAGCATGCCAACAAATCCCAGGACTAAGGTCAGCACTGTTCCACCAATCAAAAGAAGGAACCATGTCTCACGCACAACACTGCTGCCATCGCCACCTTCACTGGGATGAGCCCTGGGCATGAACAGACAAAACCATATAAATGTACATTCACCCCACCATGACCCATTCCACTTGATACTCAAACAATGATCCAGACTGAACAAAAACATTTCATAAGGCAGCCAATATGTAGCATGTTGTATTTCATGGTGCTGATTGGTGGAGCAGAAGAGCGGGCTGCTATCTGGTGGGAGATCATGGGGTTGATGAAAAGAGGTGATGAATATTTTAAGAATACATGGTGAGAAATGGAGATGAATTTTTGGTGACCACGTTAATCAGGAAAGGATTTTCAGTGACTATTTGAAAAATCCACAAAATTTTTGTATTATTCATACAAGGTAGCTGGTGGCTGCACTTTCAAAATTATATGTTTAATGTGTTTAAAAATGACTGGAATTTAATTTCTCCAGCAGCTTACTGTAAAAGTAATCATTATATCATGAAAATTATTCAAACAGTAGGAAGCTTCTTCCTATATAAAGGCAAAGAGCAGCACTATACGGAAATCACGTAATGTTTGTGAAGAGACCAAAATACAAGAAACATAGCAAATGCCTCACCTGGGAGGGTACTGATGCAGTAGCAATGGGTCCATAACAAGAGCCACTGGGGAAGAGAATGGCCCCAGGCCAACACGAGTGTATGCCACAACTCGAGCTGTGTACGAACCTCCAGTGGTGAGGTTATTCAAGAGGACTGATGTTGTTGTGGCATTCAGAGTCATCTGAGCTAGGATCTTACTGCCATTGCCCTTGATCTGAATCTGCAATTTTACATGGAACCATCAGATTCATCTGCACTGTGCCTCAGCATCTCATAACACAGTGGTCTCAGAAAGTGCAGGGAAAACAAAAAGAGATATTACAGGTTCTTGCTTTCAAAATGACAAGTAATGCTAGCAGTTCATTCCACTCATAATACATTTTAAGTAAATATGAATTTAAATATTGTTGAGTGAATCCAATCAGAACTGTCATCTAATAACATAATTCAAAATAATGATTCTTATGTCACATTTGGAATACATGCACAAAAAATTAAATTACTGAAATGCAGTTTGATGAAAAATAATTAATTGCACCAGACAAAATGTTGTTCATATAACTGTACTATTGTTATCCCAAATTATCTCAGGCCACTAGCCAATGTTTGCAAAAATAAAGTCCACAATTACAGCATACAAATGATATTACAGGTGGCACAAGAATGGACACATGCTATACAAGTCCTTCAATTGCAAGTGATCTACGTTAAAAATACATAAAATGCGCATGGCTTATGAAAGTAAACCAGTCTTTCATTTACCAGCATGATGAGTCTAGCATACGCATTTTATTCATGATCTGAATTAACCTGGTTTAATAACAACGGGCAGAAAAAAATATATATATATTCCCAGATTACTGGGATACTGGGAACGACCCGTTCTTCAAGTGCCTGAGCACTGCGGGTCCCAACTTTTCGTTGGCTTGATCTATGGGCATTCGGTAGGACTCCTTGGACGAGGGATTTTCCCGTCGCAAGGCCTCTACCTGTACACAGGACAGCACAACACAGAAAAACGCGAACATCCATGGCTTGATTGGGATTCGAACCCACGGTCCCAGCGACTAAGCGGCACAAGGCCCGTGCCTCAGACCGTGCGGCCACTGTGGACCCACAGCAATACCGTAACTGTTTCCAAGTCATGTATCAGTGATTAACACAAATCACTTTTTATGCACTAGAAACTGTATATGATTTTCTAGCAACCAAAAAGGACAATTGGATGTGATGAAGAAACATCAGACAATGTTTATATACAGTACAACCTGACATAGTTAATTGCTTGCAAAGTTTGGAGAAATGCTTTAGTTAAGCCTCCTAAGTTTTAATTACTACATAGAACAGATGGCGGTGTGGGAAGGGGCAGAGAACTTTCGGCATCCTGCCATTGGCCCAGGCTGCAAACGTCTCCCAGGCAAACCATTGTCATCTGGAACACAGACTAACATCAGGAGTGAATATGGTACGGCTCCACAGTGCAGGGCAGGTACAATATCATTTATTTGTAAATTAAATATAATAACATTTCAAGTGCAAAATCTACCCCAAAACACATGTTGAAAAAGTCTTGGTAATTTTTGTGAAGTCAGGAACCACATCCAATTTTTTTGCATTGAAATTAATGAGCAATTGATTTTAAGTTTACAAATTGCCACCTCATAAACAATTTTCGTTAAACAAACTGCATTCATAAACTGAAGAATCGGTATATCTAAAAATCAGATTACAGCAAACTTTGGCTGCTATTCTAATGTTCTAACATGCGTCCGATTTGTTTGTGGTTGTAATGTCATCATGTGGATGTAGGTCAAATAGAAGCAGCAATGTTTTAAGAATATTCTTTCTCACCTATATACACGCTGCCTATCTCTGAACTTGGGCTACTGCTCGACTTGTTCCCACGTTCAGGATTCGTGTCCAGGCTTGAGAGATCTGGTTTAACACAGGAATCGCTTGAGCTTGACGTCTTAGCTTCGCCCCCTCCAGGACCACTAATTGCAATAGGCACAAATAGCTGACTGTTATCCTATAAAAGAATAAGCAAAAAATTTACAGTAATCCTTGAAACAATTTGCCATTGTGTAGTCAAGACAACTAGCACTAAATATGACAATAGAAACTGATTCTCTTAAACTAGCAGTCTTGAACCAATACAAGTTGCTAAGGTCTTTGGTCCGGGTACGCAACATTATCTCATGGCCTAATTTTGAAGCTTTCCCCCCCAGGGATATTATTTAATTCACTTCTTAATTATGAACCAGCGGGTTGTACTTCTGAAAGATGGTTTCAGTACTGCAAGTATGCACAGCAGAGCGAACAGAATGACATCTAGAGACAAACTGTGCCCCACCATCACCTTCCACAAACATCCTATTTACAATGGTCAGGCTATAATGCTAGACAAGCACATATGATACTCATGTTATTACATGTGATAACTAAGAATTCAGAACAACACAACAAAATGAAAGGGATTATTTCCAAAAACAGCACCACAAGTACATGAACCACGAACTACTTACTCTGAAAAAACCTGTGGCCTACAGTATATGTAACAATGGCATCGACATAAAAATGGTGCATTTTCATACTACAGAATATACGCCTGTGTGTAGCTCAGTCAGTATAATGACTGGCTACAGACTGGACTATCGGGATTCGATCTCCAAAGGGGGCAGAGGATTTTTCCTCTAGCCTCTGCATCCAGGCTGGTTCTGAGGTCCACCCAGCCTCTTATTCAATGGGTAATGGGGTCCTTTCCCAGGGTAAAGCATGGCTGGGGTGTGATGCTGACCACTCACCCCCATCTAGTGATGAGGTCAAGAATGAATAGGAGCTATATGTCCTCTCCCCCCAAGCGCCTACATGGCATACAGTGGGACAGCTTTACCTTTTACTTTTATAGTACATAACAGCCATTAACATACCATGTTGTCTCTTCTAGACATGGAATTAATGAGCGTTGTAGTGGCATATGGAGCTGGGATATCTGGTTCCTTTGGTCTGCAGTTGCTATAAAATGTGGTAAGATTCCTTGTGTCCACCTCAGCATAGTCTGTGGCAGAGGAGTTTAGGTCATGGCTTGCTGCTTGGTTGTTGAGCAATTTTGTTTCTACACAGACACCCGTGGAGTCCTCATTTGCTGGCCGCCACCCTCTATCAATCCACAATGTCTCCTTCCCATTCATTAAGTTTAGTTGCGATATGTCATTTGCATTCACTACAGGAACTGGAAAATAATCGAATACAAATTGTGTTTCCCTTTAGAATATGGATACATACTCTGCAATAGGACTCATCCTGCTACTGTGAGTCAGAAAAGTTCTGGGAAGAATAAATTATGCTCAGTTTCATTCACTACATACAAATGCTAGCACAATTTGTTATTAAAAATTTGCCAGTCTAAGGCAATGTGGTTTTAAGTTATAGAAGTTCAGAGAACAAAATGCTGTTTTCAAGAAGTCTTTACAAAAGACTGATATTTTTAACAAATATACAAACACCCTTCTGCCATTCAAACATAAATTTGAGGCTATGTGGCAGTTTTACTAAATCAAAGGTAACAGAAATATAGGCCTTAAAATAGTGATCACACTTTAGTCGTAAACATATCCTTTACACTTGCACGGGCAAATTATCAAAATATGTGCAAAATTTCTGTAAGAATATAGTTATTTTTAAATTCTTAACCTCAGACTTTCACATTCTTGTTATATCTGCAACTTTTAACTCCCCATAGAACTTTCATGATCAATTCATAGGAATACTTGTGATATAAGCACCATTTATATTTACGACTTATAAATTATCCCTATCAACCAAAACAGTTAATATAGACTTCACATTGTTCGTATATTGTTTTTTACACTTTACAAAAAAAAACCTTAAGCTGACTGTTACAATAACATGTTAGGGACAACACTGAAAACATGTTCTCTAAACACAATACCGAAGCGTCACATGCCCAATGGATTATACATACCATTAAGGTGCCCAAGCTCCTTGCCAAGAGCTTGACGTCTGCGCAAGTACAGCATGCCAACAAATCCCAGGACTAAGGTCAGCACTGTTCCACCAATCAAAAGAAGGAACCATGTCTCACGCACAACACTGCTGCCATCGCCACCTTCACTGGGATGAGCCCTGGGCATGAACAGACAAAACCATATAAATGTACATTCACCCCACCATGACCCATTCCACTTGATACTCAAACAATGATCCAGACTGAACAAAAACATTTCATAAGGCAGCCAATATGTAGCATGTTGTATTTCATGGTGCTGATTGGTGGAGCAGAAGAGCGGGCTGCTATCTGGTGGGAGATCATGGGGTTGATGAAAAGAGGTGATGAATATTTTAAGAATACATGGTGAGAAATGGAGATGAATTTTTGGTGACCACGTTAATCAGGAAAGGATTTTCAGTGACTATTTGAAAAATCCACAAAATTTTTGTATTATTCATACAAGGTAGCTGGTGGCTGCACTTTCAAAATTATATGTTTAATGTGTTTAAAAATGACTGGAATTTAATTTCTCCAGCAGCTTACTGTAAAAGTAATCATTATATCATGAAAATTATTCAAACAGTAGGAAGCTTCTTCCTATATAAAGGCAAAGAGCAGCACTATACGGAAATCACGTAATGTTTGTGAAGAGACCAAAATACAAGAAACATAGCAAATGCCTCACCTGGGAGGGTACTGATGCAGTAGCAATGGGTCCATAACAAGAGCCACTGGGGAAGAGAATGGCCCCAGGCCAACACGAGTGTATGCCACAACTCGAGCTGTGTACGAACCTCCAGTGGTGAGGTTATTCAAGAGGACTGATGTTGTTGTGGCATTCAGAGTCATCTGAGCTAGGATCTTACTGCCATTGCCCTTGATCTGAATCTGCAATTTTACATGGAACCATCAGATTCATCTGCACTGTGCCTCAGCATCTCATAACACAGTGGTCTCAGAAAGTGCAGGGAAAACAAAAAGAGATATTACAGGTTCTTGCTTTCAAAATGACAAGTAATGCTAGCAGTTCATTCCACTCATAATACATTTTAAGTAAATATGAATTTAAATATTGTTGAGTGAATCCAATCAGAACTGTCATCTAATAACATAATTCAAAATAATGATTCTTATGTCACATTTGGAATACATGCACAAAAAATTAAATTACTGAAATGCAGTTTGATGAAAAATAATTAATTGCACCAGACAAAATGTTGTTCATATAACTGTACTATTGTTATCCCAAATTATCTCAGGCCACTAGCCAATGTTTGCAAAAATAAAGTCCACAATTACAGCATACAAATGATATTACAGGTGGCACAAGAATGGACACATGCTATACAAGTCCTTCAATTGCAAGTGATCTACGTTAAAAATACATAAAATGCGCATGGCTTATGAAAGTAAACCAGTCTTTCATTTACCAGCATGATGAGTCTAGCATACGCATTTTATTCATGATCTGAATTAACCTGGTTTAATAACAACGGGCAGAAAAAAATATATATATATTCCCAGATTACTGGGATACTGGGAACGACCCGTTCTTCAAGTGCCTGAGCACTGCGGGTCCCAACTTTTCGTTGGCTTGATCTATGGGCATTCGGTAGGACTCCTTGGACGAGGGATTTTCCCGTCGCAAGGCCTCTACCTGTACACAGGACAGCACAACACAGAAAAACGCGAACATCCATGGCTTGATTGGGATTCGAACCCACGGTCCCAGCGACTAAGCGGCACAAGGCCCGTGCCTCAGACCGTGCGGCCACTGTGGACCCACAGCAATACCGTAACTGTTTCCAAGTCATGTATCAGTGATTAACACAAATCACTTTTTATGCACTAGAAACTGTATATGATTTTCTAGCAACCAAAAAGGACAATTGGATGTGATGAAGAAACATCAGACAATGTTTATATACAGTACAACCTGACATAGTTAATTGCTTGCAAAGTTTGGAGAAATGCTTTAGTTAAGCCTCCTAAGTTTTAATTACTACATAGAACAGTGGTTTAAAATATTTTATTGTGATTACAGTAATATTTATTTGCTCAAGTGGTTATCATGGTGAAATTAAAATAATAAATAAAAATTCAGTGTTCTCAAAGTCTTTAGCATTACGTATATCAAGAAGGTAATAATTCTTTGTATCAATAAAGTCTTCTAGGTATACTCCCTGCCTAATCATTCCATTCTATCTCCTTCATACTCATCGCCCTGATGACGGAGGCAGTATGACCTCTGAAACGTTGGTTGACATTGACCAGACTACACAGCGCAACAACCCAGAAGACAGAAATCTTCCTATCTCCTTCACTTTCACAGTTACGTAACTGATGTTCCCTTTCAGACATTACTACTGTTGGCCATAATAAAGAATTATTTCTTATTCCTAATCTAATATAATGTAATTTAGCAACAAGCTTTGAATGTTGAAACTAAACTGCAGACATAGATCTTCTTCTTCTTCTATGGCTCTACGGTCCGCATTCGGTCCATGGCCTCCTCAATTCTCCTCTTCCATTTGGTCCTCTGTTAGGTCTGTCTGTACGAGGCTTTGATCGAGACATAAGATAGTGTTGCAATAAATTTGCTCTACTGATTCCTCACCTACATAATATTTAATAATTCAGTCCATATGGCAAACAAAAAAATAACACTCCACCATTACATTACAAATATCAATTTGTTATCACTATTTAATGAAATAATCCCCGTATACACTGCAAATCATACTGAGCACTGACAGTTCAGTCAATAAATTGACAACTTTCAACTGAATGAATATGATTCAGCATTTATTCTAGTATTGGGAATTTTCTGTTTACAGTCAAATCTGCACTGATTGCGGTGAATCGACAGAGACAGGTAGCAACCCTCCAAGTCTGTGACGTACCTTATAGCCCAAGAGAATCCCATTGTGGTGCTGTGGTGGGGGCGGAGACCAGCGAACAAAAGCAGCTGTTGCATTCAGCATCCCAACTTGCACATTGTCTGGAGGAGCTGATGGGACTGCAAACAAAGAAAATGAGCGGTAAAACAATTACGTGCCCTGAAATATCAACACGGTGAAATTTTATTACAAAATGACCAATAGTAAATGTAGAAATATTAACTTCCAACCAGATGAAATTTGACATTCACAGCAGTAAATTGGGTATTGCCATGAAAGTGAAAGAGTTCCCCCCCAACCCCCATGACCAACAGAGCTAATACATAAAATATTAGGATGCACATTAAAATACAGCCACATAAATTAATAAAGACACAGAAAACAAACAAACCTACAGCCAATCATATTTATCCATGCGGTTTAGTAGACACTCAGTCCTAAGCGGCACAAGGCCCGTGCCTCAGACCGTGCGGCCACTGTGGACCGACAGCAATACCGTAACTGTTTCCAAGTCATGTATCAGTGATTAACACAAATCACTTTTTATGCACTAGAAACTGTATATGATTTTCTAGCAACCAAAAAGGACAATTGGATGTGATGAAGAAACATCAGACAATGTTTATATACAGTACAACCTGACATAGTTAATTGCTTGCAAAGTTTGGAGAAATGCTTTAGTTAAGCCTCCTAAGTTTTAATTACTACATAGAACAGTGGTTTAAAATATTTTATTGTGATTACAGTAATATTTATTTGCTCAAGTGGTTATCATGGTGAAATTAAAATAATAAATAAAAATTCAGTGTTCTCAAAGTCTTTAGCATTACGTATATCAAGAAGGTAATAATTCTTTGTATCAATAAAGTCTTCTAGGTATACTCCCTGCCTAATCATTCCATTCTATCTCCTTCATACTCATCGCCCTGATGACGGAGGCAGTATGACCTCTGAAACGTTGGTTGACATTGACCAGACTACACAGCGCAACAACCCAGAAGACAGAAATCTTCCTATCTCCTTCACTTTCACAGTTACGTAACTGATGTTCCCTTTCAGACATTACTACTGTTGGCCATAATAAAGAATTATTTCTTATTCCTAATCTAATATAATGTAATTTAGCAACAAGCTTTGAATGTTGAAACTAAACTGCAGACATAGATCTTCTTCTTCTTCTATGGCTCTACGGTCCGCATTCGGTCCATGGCCTCCTCAATTCTCCTCTTCCATTTGGTCCTCTGTTAGGTCTGTCTGTACGAGGCTTTGATCGAGACATAAGATAGTGTTGCAATAAATTTGCTCTACTGATTCCTCACCTACATAATATTTAATAATTCAGTCCATATGGCAAACAAAAAAATAACACTCCACCATTACATTACAAATATCAATTTGTTATCACTATTTAATGAAATAATCCCCGTATACACTGCAAATCATACTGAGCACTGACAGTTCAGTCAATAAATTGACAACTTTCAACTGAATGAATATGATTCAGCATTTATTCTAGTATTGGGAATTTTCTGTTTACAGTCAAATCTGCACTGATTGCGGTGAATCGACAGAGACAGGTAGCAACCCTCCAAGTCTGTGACGTACCTTATAGCCCAAGAGAATCCCATTGTGGTGCTGTGGTGGGGGCGGAGACCAGCGAACAAAAGCAGCTGTTGCATTCAGCATCCCAACTTGCACATTGTCTGGAGGAGCTGATGGGACTGCAAACAAAGAAAATGAGCGGTAAAACAATTACGTGCCCTGAAATATCAACACGGTGAAATTTTATTACAAAATGACCAATAGTAAATGTAGAAATATTAACTTCCAACCAGATGAAATTTGACATTCACAGCAGTAAATTGGGTATTGCCATGAAAGTGAAAGAGTTCCCCCCCAACCCCCATGACCAACAGAGCTAATACATAAAATATTAGGATGCACATTAAAATACAGCCACATAAATTAATAAAGACACAGAAAACAAACAAACCTACAGCCAATCATATTTATCCATGCGGTTTAGTAGACACTCAGTCATTCATTTCACCAGAAATAAAAATGATAATGATGCTATTGATTACATGATGAGAAGATAGTATAAAAATACGAACAGACATCAAAAATTTCCATATAAATAAAAATAAACATGTTTCATAAAGTTAACTTCACTCTCAAAACTTGTGCATATTGCTACTTGCCATCTTCTGCAGTCTGTACATTTTTAGAATTGGATGGTTGCCCCTCTATGGATTTGAAGAATGGCACGAGGAAGAATTCATATTTTGTGAATTTTCGCAGATTGGCCACAGTGTAGCTTGTGGAGCCAGCGTTCAGCACTGTCACCATGTTGTATTGCTGTGAACCTCCAGACACATCACGGAAACGAATGTAGAAGCCCTCGACATATGTCTCACCAACTAGGATCTGAAAAACACATAATGCATGCAGCCCTTGCAGAAAGCCGCATATCTTACTATACTAATTTTGGAGTCCCAGATTACCCCAAAAAAGATACCTCCTCTGTCAAAGAGACTACTAAATGCTGTTGATGAATCTGAATATTTTTGGTTCTACATCTAAAATTTATTCCAACATTCCTTATATGATACTGCCCCAACACATAAAATGTGTATTTGAAGTTCTTTGTCTGTAAGCAAACATGCTGGGTCACAGCCCCTTTCATGTGACTTACATCCCAGATGAGTCTGACAGAGGTTGAGCTGATTGGCTGAACATCCCGCAGCTGCACTACCTTTGTCCCCAGCCTGGCACGTGCCTCATCTAACTCATACTTTGGTACTGCTCGCCGATCGGCTCCCAGAGTCCGCACCACGTTCGACACAGGACTAGGAACTGACACTCCATGTGAATTCTCAGCACGGACCAGAAAGACATATGAAGTGTCTGGTTTCAAGTCCCCAATCTGGAATAGGACCCAGAGGTAAAGGTAACGCTGACAACCAAGTTCACTTCACTTCGATACTATAAGAGCATTCCTCACGTGAATATGAATCTAACATCTTTCCTTTCTTACTTTCTCATATATGTTTTCAGTTCAACATAAAGTATGGAAGTTTGTGCAACAAGTTACATCAACAAAGACACAAAAAAGCAACCAACAGCCACACGCAAGTGGAAGAGAAATGTAGCCAAGAAAATAATGTGAGTTTGAATTATGTTTTTGCAAGCCCTGTGCATATTTGTTAGTGTACGTTCTCTTGTTTTGTCTTGCTTATCAAGTAATTTCAGTGAAGACTATTAATTCATATTGGAATCTTTCGTACATATATTCAAAGAGCTCTCCAGTTTCCAACACGTAACTTTAAATGAGATGTGTCCAATTGTACCACACTGACTATAAAGTAAATAAAATTACTAACAAAATGCCATCATCAGAGACTTGCTAGTTACCATGGACATGTGCTACAGTTCTGACACTTTTATGCTGGGTGAGTCAGAAGTATGTTTACAAACTTCGTGTGCGTGTTCCAGGATCAAAAATAAGAACTAATGTTCCTATGAACATGGGGTCGCAAATGTTTCATTTTCGAAATAATAGCCAAAAATAAGTTTCATTATTATTTATATCAAAGTGAATCCAGCTTCTAGGAAAGATTTTCAATTAACTTTTAGGCAGGAATTGTTGGTGACTACTTGCTTATTGGTCCACACATGCTTCCATGGCGTCTAAGTGGACCTTCATATCGGTGATTCTTAAGAAGACACTTGCAACGTCTCCTTGAAGATGTACCACTGAATACAAGAAGACATATGTGGTTTATGCAGGACAGAGCCCCAGCACACTTGTCTCATTGCGTCAGATATGATCTCAATGAACAGTACCCTCAGCGATGGATTGAGAGTTGTGACCCAGTAGCATGGCCACCGAGGTCACCGGACCTGACTCCATTGGACTTTTATCTGTGGGGTGACTTGAAGTTCGTCGTTTATGCAACACCCATAAACAATGATGACGACCTATGGGAACGTGTGCAGAATGCATGCCAGATGATTCGAGGTAACCCTGGTGTGTATGAATGAATTCGACAGTCTTGTGTACGTCATGCTCGTGCATGTGTGGAGATTGGAGGAACAACCTTTGAGCATCTGTTATAAAGAAACATCCCTGTCCTTATACTTGGCAATAAAGGCATACATTGAAAATTATTTTTGGCTGTTATTTCGAAAATTAAACATTTGCGACCCCATGTTCTTAGGAACATTTTTTCTTATTTTTGATCCTGGAACACGCACACGAAGTTTGTACACATACTTCTCACTCATCCTGTATATACGAACATTCGTACGTACACACGTAAACGCACATATATTTATTTGACATATATACACACAGAACAAAATTATGTGTTCCATCTCCTTTGCTGTTTGTTTTCTGTGAGGTCCGACATCAGTAGTGAAGCCACTACATTTGCGCCGTGTTGCAGCAACTTCGTTTACACTGGTGTGCTGCGGGTTGTCTAAACAGGAAACCACATATTACGGTCTAGCGTAATGAATCAGTGGATGGTTGTAGTTTCTGGAGAATGCCCGTGGGGTTCGACGATCCCAAAGGGAGGCACAGAGGACTTTCTGTAAAAGTTTAATTGGCGTAATAATTATTCACAAGTGTTAATTAGCTGGAATTCCCACTGACGGATGGCGTGGTAAACTCGGAGAGCTGGCGGCTGAGCAAAGTTACAGTAAACATTAGGAAGTTGGCTTGTTCCGACACTTGACTTGAGTTGGAATCGTACTTGGTAGGTAATTACCGAAGATCATTTTGCGTAATAGCATTGTTCACGCTGTTAACCTGAAGCTTTTCTTTACTCGCCCAGAAAATGGTTTCTTGTATCATTAAACGTTGTGTTGTTTTGCGTATTATTTGGTGTCCATGTCTTATTTGTCCACAGAAAAGAAAATTTGGCTTTGTTAATTGGTTGGTGCCCGCCACGATCTCATAAACTCTCAAATGTGCCCGTAAGCACAAAAAGGTTGCGGACCACTGTTCTAACCAATGAACTACACAAAGTACTGTATCTCCACTCTGGATATTAAAACTTTCACATATTAGATGCTTCGTGTGGTGGACATTGAGGCCACTTACTGGCCTTCCATAGGCTCTAAATGTTAACCTAGTAAATTTGTTATACATAAGTAGGGTACAGCACAAACTTCTAAAACTTGAAACCGATTTTGTGCACATATTTCCAACACCCAAAATATACACAACCAAATCCAAATCTACTAATCATAAATTGAAGATCCCATTCTTGACATCACTGACCATTTTTATAATCATGAGAGTCACTGGGTAAAAATGTTCAGATGAGATCACAATATTTTTCTGATGGAGAAAATGACAGCCATCTGACAAAACCCATATCTTAACAAGGACCATAAACTGTGTTGTGGGCTCAATATTCTTTATATCTTGTTCAGTGCCTCTGTGTCAAACACTACACTAGTAACACAGATAATATTCATAAGATTACTAATGATGACTCAATATTCAAATAACAGATTTATGGTAATTCACTTCCTTATTTACACCATTTATTTCACTGAATTTATACAAATCAAAATGGCAGAGCAGTCTTCCATATATATGTGAAATAATGGACCATACCAAGTGGCAGACTCGCTCGAACACTTGACAGTAACATCGTGAGGTAGACTGAAGATGGACTGCTTCACTCCCTCCATACTAACACAATCATGGTATGCGTGATACTGGCACTAAACCTTTAAAATGTGTGAACAGGTACCTTAATGCACAAGTGTTATTTACCGCAGACCAAAGCGAGTATAAAATACAGTAACTGGATCAATTCCCTCAGCCGTTGATATTGGGTTACAAAGCATATGATTAAATGACTAAGAAGACGAGTGATACTGGATCATCACAAATAGCGGACTAGTGGTTAGCGTATTCGCCACTGGACCCAAGGTTCGCGGGTTCAATCCCAGGAGAGGTCGATGGATTTTTACGGGTGATAAAAATCCGTAGCACAACTTCCTTCAGAGGGGAAGTAAAGTCAGCGGTCCCATGTCGTAAATCTATGGCATGTAAAAGAACCTTGCGAGCATGATACGAGATGTTTCATAAGCAAAATTCAGCGGCAATTTCTCACCGAAGTCTCTCCTGATTAACTGCTAGATAGCTCTGGCAGTCAAATCAGGAGTGAGTAGAAATTGTGCAGTCAGTGGGCTGGTCGCTCACTACTTATAAATGCACGTTTCAAGACCAAGAAACCTCCGAAGGGAGGCGGTGATGACCCGCTACTGGGTTAAGCTACTAAGAGAAGACACAAGTGATGTCCAATTTGACAAAAATGGAAATAAATCAGAACAGGCTAACATCTTGCCAAGTTATCGTGCTCTCTTTTCCTCACCATCTATATGGAGCGTTCCCGAGTCCATGACCTTGATACGAGGACCCTGGCTGATGAGTGGTGAGCCGTTCTTGTACCATTTGATCCTAGGTTGAGGTGTGCCAATTGCCTGACAAGGAAGTGTAGCTACTGACTGTAGCGGCAATGTCTGATTGGCGGGGCCAATCTGCACAATGGGGGGTGGAACATCATCCACTGATGTGACCTAGGCAAAGTGGGAAAACTCACATTCACATTCTCTCAAAATCATGCACAACATGAAGTTTGGTTCCAAGGTCTTCAGCCCTGTGGGATGAGGTATGTGGCGAGAGGAGCTGGAATAAGGAAAGGCAACTGGGCCAGTCACGAGGCCACTGTTTATCTGGTGAATAATTAACAGTCTGTGCTCTATGACATGGACAGAGTATCCCTTTGTAAATTATGTTCCTGTTTGGTGCTACATGACAAAGAGCAAAGAAAATGATCATGTAGACTTCACAAAAACAGCAATGGAGAACTTGATCAATACTTTCATTCTGAATACTACATACATTTCCTTATGTTTGCTATCATCACAGTTCCTACCCCGCATTTCTACCAGTGCTCCAGAATTTGGACCAAGATAGTAATAAAAATTGGCACATGAGTTATCTGGGGCAGAAGGCAGCCCATTAAAGCATGTCCCAGTTTAACTCAATGCTTCATCTACCCCTTAGGCTGGGGCCACACGACCGTACAAAGTATGTCCGTTGTAACGCACATCGTGACGTCCGTGATAGAAATATGAAGGGGCAAGATCACAGAACGCAACGGCTTCTTCCAGCTCCATTGGGGCAACTGACGCATCACACTGCGCTCGTGTGGTGTCCTCACCTACGCCCGTACAAAAGTACGTCCATTGCAACAGATGTACTTTGTACGGTCGTGTGGCCAGGGTCTTAACTCTTAACTCCTAACCATAACAGGTGGCATTTGAAGGGCACAAGGGGCTGTATTACAAGATTACTTACTGCTTGCAGGAAACATTAGTATCTACCTATAAGCCTACAGGATGTCACAACCCAGAATGATGATAACAGCAATATTAGTATCAGAAAAACATTGCTGCAATAATAGAATAGGGCAGTGGTGGTGATGATGATGATAATAATAATAATAATAATAACAACAATTTACTACTCATTTTAATTTTTTTTCAAATCGGGCTTTCTGGAGACTGAACTTAGTATTTTTTCCTTCTTCAGTATATTCATAAATAATCTAAGTAAATACATAACAAAATATGGTATGGACATAGAACAACAATGAAATAATTTTGTAATGATGCACAAAGGTAAAAGCATGTAAAGATTATGATACCCTTGAGTCACAAGACAGCACTGATAATTAAGAAAATATCAAAAAAG